AGGATGCCAGCAACCATGTTGTAGAAGCTCTAAGAAAAAGGTCAAGCATCCAGCTTCCAGATGCCAGTGAACTCCATTATCCATGGGATCACAACCTCTCCCCCAAAAGCTGAAGATACCCATCATGCAGCATGAGTTCAATACTTTCCTCAGTAATGACTACCAAAATCCATGCTCACATGATGACCTTCAAACAATATTCCAAGTTAGTGATAGCAAAACTGCCATTGCCCTCTCTTACAATGTGTTGAGTGCAGCCATAATTGGCAACCCACCTTCAAATGTGATGACAGGGTACAACTTTGTCTCATTCTGGGATGCAAATATTCGCAAGTTTATTGAAGCCTACTTTCCCACTGGCATCACCATCTGAAATTCTTCTCAGCACATGAGTACTTCTGGGAAGCAGCCTGATTTTGGCTTCATTATCAATACTGTTTGTCCCTTTTGAGGAGAAGGCTCCAAATAATCCTGAAAATCCAAGAGATGAGCTGGTAAATAAGATTGATTGGACATATGATCCAGTACCATATGTCATTGGTAAGAGTCTCCATCAGCAATATGCAGGATAAAATGCCCCAATTACTAAATATGTGTTGTACTACTTTAGGGTATTATGCCATTGGAACCATACTGACATATGCTGCTATATGCCAACCTCAGCCCAGGAGGAATAAGCCAGATGTGGTTACCATTTTGACACTTGACCTAAGAGAGAGATGGCAATGAGTTAAGAAATTGCTGGTGCTTATCAATCTATGTCCTATTATTGAACAAGTCCAAAAAGTAATTGGATATCATAAATTGCCTGAATTCATCCCAATAGAGAGGTAAATTATGGTGATTATCAAAGTGTTTTTGAATTTGATTAACAAGATTTTCTTTACTATAACAGAGATGATAAAATAATTGAAGTGTGTGGAACAAATGTGAAAAAGACATATACTGTGCAACACATATCATAAAACTCAAAAATATCTATGAGAGACTTAAAGTAAAAATATGCCTAATATTAATATGGACAATCTTGTCCTTGCCTATGCTGATAAAAATCATGGATGTGTGGCATATTTGGAGCCCAAAGGAATAAGTATCAGGCCAGCAACAGAGATGGAGCTG